TTCGTTTTCTCTATCATCTCATAAAAAAAGAAAATTTTCTCAAGCGTTCTATACGAAAATAAGATATCTCCGCCACTACTTTTGGGTACCCCTAAGTATTATATTGTGTCACAGTTAAAGGAATTAGTCAAGGAATATCAACAAGTTCAAAGAGAAAACTAAAAATAAAAGAAGACAATAATAATATGAGTCTCGAGATCAAAACAAAATGTTCAATAATCCAAATAATGGTAGAGAATGAATATAAATAATATAATAAAAAAAAAAATTAGACAAACAGATACAGTAAATATTTATATAGCATAAAAGATTCACCATTGTAACTGTTATATATGCTTGATAATAACTAATCACTTCATTTTTTTTCTTCAAATTCTTATCAAGTTAAAACAAGACATAAGAAAAAGTGAAATTGTGTTAATAAGAGATCAATTCAAAATCAACTTAAGTGATTTAATTGTTTCTCAGAAGAAAACAGGAATACGATTCTATTTATCGAATGATGAAAGTTCTTAATTATGTATAATAAGTTCTCTAATTATTTTCATAATAAAATAATATCGATTCAATAAAAAACCGATTGAAAGAAATTTGTATTCAAATAATTTTATTCATTTCCTGAATCCAACTGATAGAAGCTCTAGTAATGTCTTGTAAGGATTTCATTGAATGAGTATTAAATAAAATTTCTGCTCATTTTTCTTTTTCTAACACAGATTTGTAAGTCAAAAATATTTCTAGTCGAAAATATATTTTTTTCAAAAAGAAGTCATAAAAGAACTCTTATAGCAGATCTGAATGTGTAAAGACAAGATCTACGTAGATACACACACTTCACATATCTACTGTGTCAAAGACATCAATCGACACCTACACTATTGATACATTTTTATCAATCGAGTACATTTTTCCTACCAAATGGTACAAGTCGCGCAACTTTATATTTCTTTCTGTTCTCAAGATGGAGCATAAATGATTTTGACTACTGTTATGTTGGACAGATAGATCGTATTTTTATCGTTTTTTGTTCACTCTTCTAATAATTTACCTATTTGACATTTTAAGACAATCAAGCACTACTAGACATCTGAAGATCTGTCAACATTTCTCTATATATGTTGGCAAGAAAGTAAGTAGATTTAAATGAAAATCTGTATATTGTTCAAATTTAAGATTTTTTTCGAAATATAATAATTTTTTTGAAATATTAATTCACTAAAAACATAACTATATTCAGAATTTTTTTGAAACTAAAGGTTAGTTAACTGTGAACAAATATTTTAATGAACTGAAAATGATATCTGGGTGAATCCACCAGCTTTCTACCACTTTGTGGAAAAAATTTTTTTTTCCAGTTTCGTTCTTGTAGGTAGACGTATCATAGTCGGAAACGGTGTGGGGTATAAATTAAAATACCTTTCGAAACATATAGTATGGCAATAAAGGTCGATTTTTCGGAACAACTCAAAATATGTACATTTATACAAAATAATGTCCAATGTACCCTTCGTAATGTTTAGGAAGATGTTTGTAGCTATTGTGTGGACTCATACATGCTCAAATTTACCACTAATGAGTTGATCTGAATACCCGTTGAACTGTCTAAAGGCAGCCAATACGGTATTTCCTATGAAAATCGTACAGAGAATGTAAGAAAGAGAAATCGTACACCGATAAAACCAATAGTAAATTGTGAATTATATCATAGAGTACTTAGATGGAGTTCTGATATGAGAACGTATGCTCTATGAAAGGAATTTGATACAGTGAGGTAGTCGAATTTGGAAATTACATGTTTCTTGGTTATACTTTTTTATGTTCATATATGAACATGTAGAAAAAAAAATTACGAGCATGTATTCAAGAAAAGTTCTATTGGAAAGAATATTCTTCGTAATGCTGAGAGCTTGAAGTTCTACGACAACAAATGGTATTGTTGGTCAAAACTTTGAAATCGTGCATGCCACGAATACCACGAATCGCACCTATACCAAAAAATAATCTTAATCGTGAAAAATGAAGAAGCTTGAATTACCTCTTGACTCCATTTGTTCTCGTCTTTTGTCGAGGATGTTGACTTTAGTTTTTTGAAGTTCTTTTTCTTCCAGGAAAAACACATCAATAGCAGGTTGATTTCTACCAGTAGCGTTGATAGTTTCCAATTGATGGTTTTTAGAAAATTCATAGAAATCATAAGGACTTGAAAGCAGAATGTTTTTTGACAGGGTGCTACGTCTTGCAGTTGATTTCAGAACTGCTCCAATTCCGTCGCCTGCGCTCTTACCGTGACCACTCGCGGTAAATACCCAAGCAGCTTCCAAACCGAAATCATTTTTATGATGAGCCAGGTTGAGTATATTAGCGTTGTTCTTGAAGTGAGCGCTGGCACCGTCACTAAAATGATACTGACAATTAATCTGCATTCCATTGTAGGGTTGACTGGCAGAGAAAAGCAACAGGTTTCAGAATTTTAGGATATTAAAAGACTTCGATCACCAGCTCGATCGACTTTCAGGAGTTCAAATCCGATAAGATTTTATGAAAGTTTTAGATATCCAAGAATGATGGAATTTAGATTTTTATTAAAAATCTACTAGATGAAAGTAATCATACTCTGTGGCTCAGTAAAATTTGTATCAAAATTGATCCTAACGTAAAGTAAAAATTACTTTTCCAATTTACTTTCCCGTCTATATAAAACGTGAAATTGACATAGCCTCGTTATTCTAATACTCGTCATGAACTTAATTTACCTGACATAAATAATTTTTTTAACAAAAGGCATGTTTTTCTTCAAATAATCGGCAAGAACCTTTTGAGCACAGTAGACAAATGCTACACTATGCTCTATAGAATTACTGATTATGGCAATATCACGGTGCTCTTTGCCAATTGTTATGTGAATGGTGAAGATCGACGCTTGTTTTTGAGAGAAGAACGCTTGTTGAACCTCACGTTGACGAATAAGATTATAATTCATAGAAAAATCCACTTGAGCTACAATAAATGTAGTTTTTGACGACTGCGCACGAAGATTAGCAATATATTCACGTTGTCTTCGATTGCAGAATGTATGTAAAAGAAACGAGGACCATTTTTCTTCTATTTGATCTAAGAGTGCTTCAACAGAACTTGTCACTTGTTGCAGATCAAATCTATTGTCCAATTTTTTCCAAATAGTCCATGAGCAGTTTTCATCAAGATTAACACTGATTTTTTCTGTAAGAATGTCGACGATAGATTTAGTCGAACATAGTTGGCATTCGCCAATAACACAATCTTCCATATCATTGTTGCATACCACTTGATCGATAAGTTCATTTACGGTGAATGTATTATATCTCATTGAAGAAGATTTGCTGTATTTGCCGTGACAATAATTATTCCATGCCTACAAATAAAATTCACATTAGCAAAGTAGTCAATTTATATAATGACAAATAGTTCTGTTAATAAGAGAGTCGCTACTATTACATTGTAAAACCTACTCTTCTTGGCTTATTACTCATTTTTCATAGGTGATTTCAGCTTCTCGTAAAAATATATGTTGAAAACTGCAGAACTAAGCTAAAAATCTTCCATTCTTATGTCAATCGACAAAATACTCAGATAACATGATAGATAAAACCGTAGATTCAATTAAAATCCTTAGAAAAATATATTGAAGATAGAGAACAGATACATACTTTGATTAAGAGATTCATATTTTCATGTGTAATGCACATACAAGTATCATGCGGTGACACAATTTTCACATCGCGAGGTCGTGAGGAGTAAAATGTTGAACGACCAACCAGACCGGGAAAACGTTCGTTAAATAATCGAAAAGCATCTAACACACTCATTTCCATAAAACGAATCGGTACTGTAATTCCATTAATTTGAATTGTATCTTTTGAATTTGCTGATATGCGACTAATACCATCTTCAAGATAGAAATCAATTATAGTGGTAATCGTATCATCTGATATTGGTGGATTGCCACTGAAATATTGAGGAACAGCGAGGACACCTTCGTTGTGTCGAAGTATAAGTGACTGGCGAGCTTGATGCTGAGTTGATTCGAACCTAATAACGAAAGAGGTGTACGAAATAATTTTGTTAAAAAACTTTGCCAAAATAAAATGTTTCGCATTTTCAATACTACTCACCATTTTCGAATTTTTTCTCGACCCCACTCCTTGGGAGCAATCGTCAAAAGACGAACTTGTTCGGTATTATTGCTCTCATTGAATAATTTCTTCAAACCCGTAAGAAGATCATTGGATTCTTGCACTGGAAGATTATGTGGATTTGGATCGTTGACTTGTACGAGTTTTCCTTCCAGTACATCACATAATCCATGAAGATATCTATAAACCTCATCAACTCGAGAACGAATTGGAGTAGTTCGTAATCTAGTAAAAAGAAGCATTTTATCTAATGAAACGATATCTCACACATACTTATCGTGAATTGGATCCATCTTCAGTAATTTAAAAACAGCAGATAACTGCTGCATTGCTTGTTCTTGCTGATACGTAAGTTCTAATAGCATTTCATCATCGCTTTGTTTTTCTTCACTATCTTGTTGATCACTTCCACTATTATCTTTCTCATCATCAGTCGAATCATCTCCACTTATTTCTTCACTACTAGTATCCATGTTATTCTCTTCTTCCATACCATATTCTCTGTTCATTATCTCTGCTTCTACCCTTTGACACTTTGGACACAACCAACGAATATTCAATTCTTCAAGATCATAATGATTACGCATGAAATTGAGAAGGCGATAAGAGATACGACGTATACCTCTTGATATGAAAGAATCTGTATGTCTAGTTGGATGTTGACATAATGTTCGTCTTGGCATGTTTGTAGTATTAGAATTGTTGATGAATGAAAAAAAAAGATTAAGGACCACTTGTTATATCGCATAAATCATCTACAATATCTTATTGTTTGTTTACCCTCACCCATTATCGAGACGAAACTACAAAAAAGATGTCATCAGATATCAATAATAAACTATATAAAGAAATTGAATTTCAATTGTGCATGTATTACGAAATCAGATTTTAATCATTTGTTCGACACTTCATCATAATCTATCTCTATGGCTTCGAATCAAAGAACAACTAGTTATTCAATCCTAGCCGATCATTTACAAAAATAAAATTTTTCCATATCAGAATCCCATCTAAGTACTCTATGATATAATTCACAATTTACTATTGGTTTTATCGGTGTACGATTTCTCTTTCTTACATTCTCTGTACGATTTTCATAGGAAAT